GATTTCTCTTACATTTTGCTTCAAGGTATGTGGGCCCACCAGATGACTTGTTTGGATTACCAAGATCTCATTGACAGGGGATGGAGAAGGTTTGTGGAATAAGTTTTGGTAAAATTTCCGCACAGCCCATACTACATTATGCATTCAGTTCTTGAATAGAGAAAACAATGACAAAAACAACACATTTCCATTGGGAAAGCAGATTTGTTTTACAATAGTATGGGGCTGTGCGGAAACTTTACCTTTTCTTCTTCTTTCTCAGATTATCTTAAGGTATTGAGCACTTTAGCACAAAGAAAAATGAAAAGTGCCCTGGTTTGAAAATTTAAAGCCAAAGAAATATTCAATCCAAAACAAATTAATATCACAGCCTCAATGGTAGTACTGATTTCAACTTAATAAAGTTTGTTTTTACTTTGATAATAACATATTAGTTTTCAAACATGACTCCACACAGTTTCTCTTTCCTCCTGTTATCATACTCGATACAATTTAAGCTAAGGATGAAATTAAATTTTTACCATTAATAATGATTACACCTGCAATTGAGTTTTAAAAATATTTCTGTATATTTTGTTTGTCTCTTACAGGAGTGGACAATATGTGTACAAGCCAATGATGAAAAAAATGTGTTGTCCTTCTTATACCATAAAGTACGTTTTACCTCCCATTTTATATTCACCTGATCACTTGTACTTATTAACATTTAACATGCTGTGATTGCAACATGTGTACATTAGCCTTGATCAGTGATACACAGCTAAATGATAACAAAATTTTATCAACAGGATGTGTGAATTTTTGAGTAATATATTAGACATATTAGAAATTGTATGACAACCTTATCCTCTAGGGTAAACTGCTATTAATAATGGAAATTGGATAATTTAAACCTTAAAAAGCTTTTGGAAGGCTTGGTTTACCCTCTTGGGCCTCACACATTTGGGTTAGCCACTCTTAACAACTAAAATTAGGAGTCATATTTCATCTTATATTTCTAGATATTGTTTTTTTTAAGCATCTGAGTAGGCCTGAATCTTAAATCCCTGGTTCCACATAGCTCATTTCACACTCTTAATCATATCAGGTTTCTATAATACTGATCATGGTTCAGGATTTTTTTTCCACACCATTTATACCAAAGCAGAAAAATGCAAACCAGCTAGAAAAAATGAAAAAATGTGTTTACCACTCAAGATCAGTTCATATGGGAAAAAACTGTGCTCTTGATTTTGAGTATGGTCCTCAGTCATCATTCACTGCGCGTAAGAACTTGTACTCAGTTTTTTTTCCCACACAGACCCCCCTGCCAGGTAAATAATAATTTACCTTCAATCATTTGAGAAAGATAGGAGAGGGTCCAGGGGAGTACTAACACCCACAATTGTTAGTGTTTCACTGATATTTAATGATGTTGCATGATAACACCACACCACCCAGAATTTTAAATTTCTGTTCTTTTCATTTTGTGCAGATGTGATGCACTGTCTTTCAAACCAAGCAAATCTCAGAAAAAAGTTCTTAAGAGGATGACCAAGTTTCTTACAGTTCCCAAATCTGGTATGTATTATGATTCAAGTTGTATACACCTGAATGTAAAAACACATAAAAAAGCTTTATCATTAAACAGTGAGACCCAGTGGCATTATGGGTATACTTGTTCTGCATATGGTCAATGATGGAAACTGCATATAAACACATAATCCAGAGAGAACAGTATTATTCAAAGGAAGATTTACCATTTTATCACTAAATTTTCAAACATTGCCCACAAAGCCATTGGGTCTTGTCTTCTTCATCACCTCCAAAGAATGCTCAGCCAACTCTTCATCTTGCTACTAGGATTAACTGCCAGGGGTCTTAAAGGCTGACTACCCATGAATAACGAGGGTAACTTGGTTATTTTTCAATTTTAGAGTCAAGTTCCAAGACTGATGGTGAAGATGCAGCTGGATATCTTTCTGAAGAATTGGATCATGCTCATGAAACAGCTTTTGTAGAACCTCCTCTTGGAGTGAAGCCATCTGAATCAGTCAAGGTTGGGGATATTAACTGCGATGAATTGGGAAAGGAAGATTTAAAGGCTACTAAGGAAACAAAAGCCACAAATGGACAAGTGCATTTAAGGGCATCAGCATCTTCAGGTCAAATGGTAGATGAATCAACAAGGAAAACCAAGCCATGTAAAGACAAGAAACCAGGTGAATCTCTTTTCAGATAATTTCTTCCATGTGTTGTATTAAAGCATCTAGCCATGCTTCACTTACATATAGCCTCTTCTTGAAATTTACAGCACCTGGTTTAGGAGCTGATCCAAACAAGCCTCCTTGCCGCAAGGCTAAAATCCTTCGTCAAGAGAGAAAAATGAAGAAACTTGCATCAGTCAGTGGGGAACAGGTTGGTGCATGTTTAGAATGTCTCACTTCGCCTGATTTAGGCTTAAGTTGATAACCAACTCTTGTTTGAAAAGTGAGCTCATGCAACTGTCCCAAAGAGAGGGAGAATATGAAGATATGAAGACCACACCCCAAAGAGGGGTGCCAATCAAGGCTGTGCCTGCTAGTCTCTCAGTTCAGAATTAATAACTACAGGTGAAATGTCTGTTCATATGTTTAAACAGCAGTCCTTTTGCTATTATTAGGAATTTGTTGTAAATGGAATTTGAAGTGCACTGGTGAGAGGGGGGGATGGGAGAGGGGATGGGAGATAGGAGAGAGGAGGAAAATTTTGGAAGGCTGGAAAAAAGTCTCAGAGCCATTTAAAGATGCAAATGTTCATGACCCACTGAAGATCAGTAATTCTCCAAATGTAGATGCTGATGTCCAGATTTGTTTTTCCTCTCAATTACCAGAAAACTGAATCTCAGTCAAGTTCCCAAAATGCCAGAGTCCCTATTGCTAAGTCGTTGGAAGACTTCATGATTGACAGATTGCCCAACCAATCACCCATTCATGATCTCCAGGTACATCTTTTGTACTTCTTGTTAATAAAGATAGTATGTACACACTGATTTTTTATGGTTGATGAAAATGATGTCTCACCTTCATGTTGTAGACTATTTACCTGCACAAATTACAGACCAGACAGACGGGTATACAAAATTAGTTCATGTTAATTGTTGCCAGATCTCTGTCATTGAATTTCACTTTGAATGACCTTGCTATGATGATGACAAGTCTCCTGCATTATGCAATAGTCAGACTTCTTTTCGACGAATACTGTCTAGGCCAATGCCAGCCATCCTATTTTATAAGACAGTAAAGAAAAGCAGCTATTATTTTAATTAATAAGCTAGTGATCAGAAGTATGACTTCTGTCAAGAGCCATATGGATAATTTTTCCAAATATTCTTTTGTCCCTGATTGAAAATCATCTTCTGTTCAAAAGTACTTGTATTATTTTATGTTACAAATGAAAATGTTTCTGCCAGATGGTTTATGTGGTTATGTGCATGTGGTGGTTGTACCTAGAGTGCACAGCCAGAAAATCAGCTTGTAAAGAATTGCTCAATATTTAAACATGTCAACATGACTTTCCTTTACTCATAGATCAAGCTGATTCCATCAAATCGAAACAATCAGCAATTCATTGAAACCTTGCCACAGACCAGAGAGTTGTTTTTCAAATACCAGCGATTTATTCATGGTGACCCCCCTGAAAAATGCACAGATAAAAGGGTATTGAGTTCAAAATGTTCTAGAGAGTAGGATGGGTGGTCACTTCTTGTCTATCATATGCATTTCAAGAAAACCTCACTTCCCAATTTACCTGGTCATTATAAAACATTTCTCATATGAAAGTGTGAATTAAATTGAAATTGCATCGCAAAATTACAGCTTCACAGAGGGTGAAGATGCAATTTTGACAAAGGGTGATCTATGAGACAATAAAGTCTCACATTAAAATTTCTAAAATTTTAAGGATTGCAAATCTTTTTGTATATTTCAGATAAATAAGAAATCAGATTTGTTCAAGTCAGTATTTGAGAAGTGACCATTTTTGTGAAAAATTATTATTCTCAGGTCAAATTGGTGAGAGTGAATTTGCAGTGTGATGAATTTAGAGCAACATACCAACAGACTTGTGCTCTCTTTGCAAAATATCAAATAGCCATCCATAAGGACCACCCCAGAGAATGTGGTGAATCACAGGTTAGGTGTAACTGTAATTTTTGCATTTTCTCACAAAGAGAATTGACTTTGAATATCTAACAAAAGTAAACCAGGATTTCTGCAGTTTGCTTACCTATGCTCTATAGTTGGTATACAAAACTTTTTCAACCAATTAGATGGAAAATCAAATCATGACTTTCCGAATGCTCTGACTTTGAGTCCTGATTGGCTGTTCTGATATTTTTGTTTGTTTTCATTGGTTGTTGCATTCAGTTATGTTTTGGTTTTGGTTTTGCAACATACAAATAAAAAGTACTGTTAGTGTTATGAACTGAGTTGAAAACGTAAATTGGCCACCATAGAGAGTTTCAAGGCTGACATTTTGAGCATTAGTCCTTTGTCAGAGTGTTGTTAGCCCTTTGCTCCAACTGATGAAGGGCTAACACTTGAAATGTTAGCCTTTAAACCCTTTACGGTGGGTGCCAATCTATGTTTTCAACTCAGATGATAACACTAAGTTACTCCGTTATGCTCTCCCAGCGACGCAGCACCACAGTTTCTTTAGAAATTTACCCCCCTTTATTTATCTGTATCACAGAGTTGACCATATTATCAAATTGTGTGGAAAGCTCCGGGTCCTTGAACTAAGTATTTTACAGAAAATAGCTTAATTCCTTGACACTGAAGGGATAGTTGAATTAAATTCAATTAAAACCAACTGGATTCTGAAGTGACCACCCATCCAACTCCATGAGTTTGTGTTATTATATACATTGAATAATTAAAAGTAATATATAAAATTAAACAATGCACTTGTCATGTGTATTATTGATTTGCTTTTCAAATTTATAGCAAATGAGTTACTTCAGACAGGCTGCTTTTCTTATTACTCATTCAAGGTTAATAACTTCTGTAAATTTGTGCAACATATCAATTCATAGTTGTGCCCTATGCCAAAAAATATTTTGTTTGATGTATCTGTGTGGAATGTGTTGATTCCATAGTTCAAACATGGGTCATGGTAGAGCTAATGCTGCTATTAAAAGAAGTTTTCTCAAATTTTAAAATATTTTACATTCCTCTGAGAGGTGCAAAAGGTAGGGAGTTCTTTTTTTTTTGGAGCAGTTTTACACAAACAAACACAATTTTTACCAAAAATAAATTAATAATAATTATCATAGCACTCAAGGAGCATGGAACGTTTGCTTACAAACCACAGAAACGATGCAGATGTAATAAAGATTATTATTTATAATAATTACATGTATTTAATGCATCACCTAAATGGTAACATGTACCTGAACCTCGGGTAAGGATTATTCTAAGTACTTTGTATCGTTTTTAAGAAGTGTGTTTTGAATTGTTTGATTTTAGTTCAAAAGATTCTTGGTTGACTCTCCTCTCGAGGTATGTTTATATTATATGCACATTGTTCCTTTTAAAGACTCATGATAAACAGTAAATATTTGAACCCCGGAATTCATGTAACATTTGATCTCGCAGTTTGATCGTCTGGGTGAGAATAGCGCTGCGAAGGCTAGTTGTGGTTAGTAGTGACTCAGGCTTTGAAAACCGTAGAAGCGTCTCTCATAAGGGCTTCTTTTAATGTCATCAAGTTGTTAGTCACCACTATCGACAATAGTATATTTCAAGACCCAGGCTTTCAATATAAGCTATTTTCCAATATTCTACCATTACCTGTAAGTCCTCTTACCACTGTCTATTTAGCGTGTGAGCAGGCTTTCTCTCTCTCTCTTGTGTTTGGGGCTTGTGGAAAGAGTTAATCGAAATCCCTTCAAGATTACTTTCACCTGGACGGTAGACTACATGATGAACTTCTCGACGGAGATGAGTCATTTTTTGTGTCATAAAAATATAATATTTTAATACAATGAAACCTTGAATTAGTCGTTTGAGTATTTTTTTCCCATCATCAAGCTCGGAGAATGTTTGAATTGTTTGTTCTCTAAATATACCTTTCAGCGCACAACTGGACCAGAAGCCCCACCAATGGGCTTTGGATCGTTTCATCAACAATACTTTCTCGGCGGTAAGTTGTTTTACTAGGAGCTCACCCACGGACTTTGGAAATAGTATTTATTTCACAAATAGATTCCATGTCGTCGTGCGTCTGTTCACTAATAGAGATGTTAATCATGATGTTTCCGGCAAACGAATAACGACTACATGACGTTTTCCGTTTGCCTTCGTCACCTCTTGCACTTGAGCTTTGCGTACCCAGCGAAATGCCTTAAAACAAAGAACAGTACGGAGTTAACTGCGCTTGAGTATTATTTCCGATAATTTTCAATTAAAGTCAATGCGAAACAGTTGTTTTACCACAAAGAAGGAGTGAAGAAGCTTTCCCTCAAAGTTCACGATTGCTAAAATACTTTACACTAGCATAAAATAATATACTTTTTCTCGCGCTTTTCATCAATATGAAACCTCCTCCCTTCACGTTGAAAACGGCAGAGGGCAAACGGCAAACGTTAAAAATGGCGGGAAAAATTGGTCACATGGTCATCTTTGCCATTTCCTTTGTATAGCAAACGTCTTTAGATCACAGATGACGTCAAAATGTGATAAGAAACAAAAGTAGAGTTCAATACTGTGATACTGCGATACTGCAATACTGCGATTCTGCGATACTGCAATACTGCGATTCTGCGATACTGCAATACTGCGATACTGCGATACTACAATACTGCGATACTGCGATACTACAATACTGCGATACTGCGATACTGCAATACTGCAATACTGCTCAAGTAGTGTTCAATACTGCGAAGATCGCTTTCATATTCACTTCTTTATCCGCAGTTGTAATATGTGACTTTCATATATTCATAGTCGTTTATTTACCACTTTACGGGTTTATTTGGTACCAACTTATTGACCAGCTCTCAGTCGGCTTGTCAGCTCGAATGGTAGAGCACTGCACCGGTATCGCGGGGGTCATGGGTTCAAATCCTGTACAGGCCTGAAATTTTTTCAGGCCTTAGTTTCACTACTGCTCAAGTGGTGTTCAATACTGCGAAGATCGCTTTCATATTCACGTTTTTATATATTCACAGTCGTTTAAGAACCAAAAAGTAACTCGAGGCGTAGCTTAGTGTGTTATTGATGTTCTCAGTACTCTATGACGTCCTCTGTGATTTATTATTGAAAAGACGCACGGAAACATGGAATCTATATGCATTTGAGTTATATGATAGAAAATGCAAAATCTTGTTAGTGGTGATGTCATCTATGCGTTCGTCCTCCAATAGATCATAGGTAAGAACCGGTCAAAATGCGTGTTTAATTCAGCTTACAATATAAAATAACAATGGAGAAGGTAAGTTTAATGTTCCGCTTATCGTATGTTCACTTTTTTGCGTTGTGGCGTTTCATTAATGTTTCACTGTCTTTCTACGTTTTTATTCTGCTCACACATCGCACCTTGTGCATTTTGACGCTTATACTTCTGGAATGCATTCTTATGTGCAAACCTTTAGTGTTGTTTTGCCCGTATGGTTACAGTCTCCAACCATCTTTGAGAGAGAAGCTAATTTTCGTTTTTTTTTGTTGTTGTTTCATTTATTTGTTTGTCTTTTTGTGGCAGATAAACTCATAGCAGTTGGAGTGCTAGACATTCTTCCGCGCTGCGTTTCGTCTGTGTATTTCTTTTATGATCCCGATTATTCATTTTTATCTCTTGGGGTCTATTCCGCTCTGAGGTAAACTTTAGTCTTATTTTTAAAATGCCCTCTCAGAGTTCTATTTTTTTGATCATGCTCCTATTCGTTACCAAGAGAATGTAAACTGTTTCTAATCTCTTGTCGGTACTCGAGCCGGAGTCTTGGAGAATGGCGGAATTACCAAGCAATATCTGCCCAAAACCAATTTTCAGTTCCAGTTTTTAAATTCTCCTCAAGTCAGATGAAACTGAACGTGTTGTTAGTTCTGCAGGTGTGAAAACCATATGAACGGTTTGAAACAATTCTAACTCGAAAAGAAGGTTGACCAAGTATGTCGGCGAGGTAACCGGTACGTCGGCGAGTCGACCAAATTCGACTGTCCACGAGTTGACCAAAAGTGTCCGCGAGGTGACTAGTGGTGTTGGCGAGTTGGTTGGCGGCGAAGTGACCGGGTGCCCCTCTAGCATGCCATTTCATACACTTATCTCTCTGAATGTACAGTCAAACGCCTATAGCCTTTTGTTTTCATCTCTCTCGTAGGGAAATTCATTTTGCTCGCTGCCTTCAAAAAAGCGTCCCGACCATTCAGAGTTACTACATGGGTTTCTACATACACTCGTGTCCAAAAATGAGATACAAGGTGTGTACATTGACCGGCATCAGCAATAACTTGGCTTTTGGTCATATTGGCTGAGTTAAGTTTCACGACAGTCAATCGGAAAGTGATTTACATCGCTGTGCTGCTTTCTCTCTCCAGGGTAACTACTCACCATCCTACCTGGCCTGTCCAGAGACGTTCAATTGGATTCCCATGAAGCAGTGTCTCCCTAAGCTCGACCTCAGTAATTATTCTCGGCTCGACGACTCAGACGAAGGTGAGACATGGTAAATCTGTGGGTGGTGGGGGGTGGGAGTATTATATTAGACGTCAGATTTGATGGTGTGGGGTGAAGCACTGGCCAGAGACACTTTTAGTGTTGTTTTCCTTGCGAAGAATTTCATGAGTTCCCCATCTAAAGAGAGCAAGCGACACATTTTCTCGTTGTAACAAACCTCCTTATGATCTCGTCTTCTTTAATTTTGGTTTCAATTGCAGTAGTATATTACTTGACCTAAACCCCATTCACACCAAAGCTCAAACATGTTTTGAAGCTGTTCGGTTAAACACTGTTTAAAGTTTTGCTCTATACAAGCTGCTTAAACCCATGTTTGTCGGCTTCAAATGTAGCACACTTCCGGGAAGTTCAAGTCGGCGATTACTTAAATCCTATGGAAAATTTAGATTTTCATTCAGTTAAACCCGGTGTAACTAAACATGCTTTTTGCTTCGTGAGCAAAGCTATACGAGACTTCTCATCACTCGTAGGTTGTCTTGACCTTTATTCGTTGTAAAGTCGCTTTTGTCAAACAAATCTTTTTTTCACAACTTTTTTAGAATCTCCCAAAGCAACCGCGGATGACGTGCTTGTTTTTTATAAGCGGAAAGCCTTACCTTACCAGGTAATCTCTAACTTTATATATGCTCTTTCTCTCCCCCTGTTCCTCCTTCCCACCCCCTCTCCCCTTTCCCGGCCTTTCCTCTAACCTTTTTCTGTCCTACTTTAAGCGAGTAGACCCCACTTGATGTTGTTACTTCTTGGAAAATCGAGGCCAAATTTGTCAATTTTTTTCATTTTCCATTGACGATTAACTGTGGCACGAATGAAATGTCTCGTAGTAGGGATTCACGTAGTGTCCTTTGCAGCCGTTCTTTTGATGTCACGTAATGCTCCCCCACGATAATCATCCAGGGTCAGCGTTGCGTGACACTGGAACAGTTGCGAACATAAGAAGAAAACTAGAATGTTTGATGTAATACATAGCAATAACACTTACTGTCGCTGATGCGTCTCTCCTGACAGATGTATGAAGCTTATACAGAGGCAAATGATCGCGGGGAGGTTCAGGAGTACGCAGAACTCGTCGGACCTGAGGTTTTGCCAAGGATGCTGCTCTACAGATCCGGTTAAAATATGCTAAGGTTCCAGGCCAAGAGAGGATAAAGTCAAGGCGTGGCGGTCATATTTAAGAAACGATTGTTCGGGGTAAAAAAGTTATGAAACGGTGCATCAAGGCGGGAGCCTCGAAAATCGTTTAGAAAGCCTTGATGTTAGCTCAAGAAAAGAGTATTCGAACGGATTTCAGCAAATTAAAAGGGGGCGCTACTCCGACAACAATAACAATAGGTCAGTGGGTGTTATGCATATTCCTTGCTCTTTTTTGCGAGAAGGTCTTTCTTTAAGCCTTGTGCTCCAAGCTTCGTAGGATCAGGAATTGATTAATAGAAAGGCAAATATCTTCTGTTTGAAATAAAATGATATGCTTGGTTTAATTGGTGAGAAGTGTACGGTTGGTTTTCGCGAAATGGGACCGAATTGACTTTGAAACTTCTGTTTAGTGTATCATTAGTTTGACTTCTGTTTAACTGTCCGAAATGGTTTTTTACCCTGTTGTTGAAAGAAACATGTTCACGTGGTATGGTTAGAAAATCCAGCACGATTTCCCTGAGTTTTATTTCGAATTTCGCGAAGTTATACCTTCGGAGTCAGAGGTGACCCTGCAAGTGTGCCGCGGGGTGGTTTGCAAATTAATCGACGCGGCTGTCTGGAGCAAGTCCCAGATTTATTTTATTTTAATCCACATTAAACAATGGGTTAGAGAGCTACGAGGAGCAGACTAATCTTTAGCCTTGAACTTACGGTTAGTCTCAATAATAGTTTGGTTCAATTATTTTCTCTCTGTATCTAAGCTTCCTTTTAAGGAGTATTTTGTTCAAGAGCTGATATTTGTTGTTTTTACTGACCGGCTGAGAGACGCAAAAAGTCCATTTAAAACACTCTCTTGATCGTCTTTTTATTAAGCCATCACTTGAGATTTTCATGAGTTAGATTATTAAGAATAATCGACGTCAATTAAATAGAAATCGAAGGGACCTTTACCCGCAGGAACTCGTGACCATATTCAATCATTAATCGTGGGTTTAAATGCTTGACTAGAGCTTACTAACAAAGCAGCTTATCTACTCTTCCAGAAATCATTAGTTGGGTCACTTCTCCAGATCAACTTCTGGGATGTTCTTTCACCGCTCTCTCCCTTTGGATGTGGTTAACATTCAATGTGTTTATGCAATCTTGCAGACAAACATTCAGAGGGACAAGGGAGGTAGTGAAGGTACGAACAAATGTGTCTGGGAGTTTAGGCTATCTAAGAAAGAAGTTGTATTCTTGGAGACTTCAGCCGTGGATTACTTTGATCCTGCTTGTTAAAATCCAGGACCAGCAAGGTCAATTCACAAATGAAGTGAGGTTTCCTGTCTGCTCCACATGTCTTTAACAAAACTTCTTTGCCAATCTTTCTTTGCCTATCATCGATCTCTTATGCTATCTGTAATCAGAACAATCTTAAAAACACAGGGATTTAAAACACTCTACCAGAAAATATTTTGACGAGCGAGTGCTCGGCATTTTCTTCACTAAATTTATGGCCGCCATTATGACTGGTAACAGGTGAATTCGATCCCTTGCATGGCTGCTCCAAGTTCCGTCACCTCATGAAATTCCGCCGCTTGAAGTATGGTTGTGTGACCCCTAACTTTTGATCTAACGCGACTTCTCGGACTTGAATACTGAGGTACTGTCATAAACCCAGTACAACTTGAGACGAAGTGTTTTGGTTAATGAAAGGAATTCGATTCTGATTGTATTCTGGAATACAACAGAAGCAATCACTGCAAATCAGTGTTTAAACATGTTAAAAAAAACATTGCTTTCAGTGTAAAAAAAACATTGCTCTCACAGTATTAGACGGAAAAGTGATAATTGTCCGATTTCTGGGCACGGTATATCAGCAAGAAATTGATGAATGAGTAAATGGATTTATGGATTGGTAGACGGACGGACTGTCATGCGTTTGCTTGTTCTTTTGCATTACCATAAAGTGAGTTCGACCAAAGCATTGCACCAGTAAAAGTGGTGAATTTTCAAAGTTTGCCTGTAGGGCTTTATTTTAAGAAGTGATGTTGAATTTTAGTTGTTCTTTTGTATTACGATAAAATGAGTTCCACTAAAGCATTGCACAAGTAAAAGTGGTAAATTTTCAATGTTTGCCTGCAGGGCTTTATTTTGTGAAGTTAAGTTGAATCTTGGTTGTTCTTTTGTATTACGATAAAATGAGTTCCACCAAAGCATTGCACAAGCAAAAGTGGTAAATTTTCAAGGTTTTTCTGCAGGGCTTTATTTTGTAAATCGATGTCAAATTTATTAAATAACCGCAGAAATTTGATCAACGTTCAATTCGCTACTATCCCATCTTAATTTCGGAGACATTTGCGCGAGATCTGGGGTTGAGGAAGAAGTCGACTTTAAAAATGGCGACTAGGCCGACGTTGTTTATGAAAAGAAACAGTGTTTCATGCCGCATTGTCTGGCTCTACTTAAAACAGGTGAGTATCAAAAATAAATCTTTTCCAGATGAATGACTCGTTGAGAAAGACTAACGTATGTTTTGCTCGCTTTGCCGATCGCACGGTCAGTCCAAATTTTCAAACACAGTTTCCCTCAAAACTTCCACCGAAAGCACTTTTTCTACGGCTCTTCTTCCTCTCTGAAGACTTGAATAAATATTTTTTTTTTTACTGTGAAACAGTTGGAAGCTTAAATATTTTTGGAACCTCAACCCTTAAACGCTTATTATTTGACGATAAATTCTCCGATCTATTTGGTACCAGCTGAATTTCCTTACAAAAATGTACTCATGTACCCAAGTTCAGAAATTTGGACTAACATCACGTAAAACTACACATAAAATCATAGTTCTTTCAAATCTTATGAATTGTTTGCTTTATGATATTAAAAACTAAATGGAATATGAATTTCTACGAATTGATAACCATGAATTAAGCCAAAGATTTTGAGATAAAAGGCAGGAAGAAGTTGAAATTAACTTGTAGCAATTTTTTAATATTCTACCAAGAACTTGTGGATTGTGTGCATTGTTATTTGTCGGTTATTTTTCTTTTAATTTAGAATGAAATTCCATTTGTGATGATTGATTTGGATGAGTGTAAGCCTTCAGATTTTGAAAGCAGAAGCCCTCTTGGTACAGTGCCAGTATTGCAAGATGGTGGCCATAATATTTACGGGAGGTAAACTTTTATCATAAGGCTCATCTGTGCCAGGTGGCTACAAGGTTTTTCAATCAATGAGCCATTTTCTGTGGGGAAAAATTTGATCCATGAATACCTGAAATATGGGATAACCAAAATGTACCTTAACTTGGAAAAATGTATCTCCTGTTATGTCACAATTTTTTGACACTGTTCATCAACTCAATGATAATGAAACCAAGCACACAAATAACTTAAGTTTACTAGAGCTTCATGGGTGTGTCAGATGAAGCCAACATTTATGCTATTAGACTGCATAGTAGTCTTAGTTAAAGAGAAATTTATGGCCCCATTGTCAGTGGCAGATCCAGGAGGATCAATTTGAGAAACTTAACAGACTAATACTTCCTGCTTTTTTGGTTTTCTTTTCTTTTCTTTATAGCCAGGCTATAGTCTATTACTTGGCAGAGAAATACACAAACTATGCAGGTTTTGGAAAAAACAATGAAAGACCACTGATAGAGTCTGTCATTAACTGGGCAGCCACTACACTACTGAGGTATTATACTGACTGAGGTTTACTTTCTTCAGTTATCTAACTTATTACAGGCTTGCAACTAGCATTGAAGAGGCAAACACTCTTTGTTCATTTTAGTGACACATGCATTTATTGGCAGGGTGTAAGATCAGAACGCTCTCCAAAATGGTTCAACCTGAATTAGCAATTTATTACACACAAAAAAATGTGTCTGATACACCTGTAACAGAAAGGGTTGTAGCCAAGGAAATAGTATGCTGGTTATGAATAGAGTTGAACCAGTCCAAAAGGAGACCTGGTGACAGAATATTACTCCCAATCTTTAGCAAGCCCTTCACAGTGAGGCTACCAGACATGATTTCAAATGCAGGTTATTGAAAAAGAGTAGTGTAAACAAGTACCCTTTGCTAAGTTTCAAATGTAAAAATTCAGCCAATGATCACCTGTTTGACAGCCAATGCTAATAGCAACAACCCCAAGTTGTACATCATCATGATCATCCAGTAATCTTGAATAATTTCATACAGTATCTTATGGTTTAAGCTGAGAAAGGGGTGTTTGAAATTTAAAGATAGATTTTTATGGCTGGACTTAATGCTGTGTGCAGAGTCACCAAGGTCGATATTTTTTTGATATAAACAATTTGAAACTTTCATGAATCTAGTAAAAGGTATTGCAGTTACTTCAACTTGTGGATATTGTTACTGCATTTCTTTTTGGGAGGATAATTGTTCCCTATGATAATGTTGTAACTTCTGTAGCCATTTTGGAGATGTTTGAAGATCTCAAACTCTGTCCCAGTATATTGATTTACAGGTTGTGGTTCAGTTGTTTGCAGCTGTTCAAATTTAGCTATCACTGCTACATACATGTATTTGTAGAACCAATATATGTTTAAAACTCTTAAATTCAATTAATATTTGAAACAATATTGATACAATCTGACAATTTTAAGTTTTATTTTATGTATGGTATTCCATCAACTCATAACTGATTTTTTTTTCTGCAATTAAAACATTTTTTTTTTAGGGACATTGGAAATAATTATGTCTACCCAAGCTTAAACTGGCCAGGAGTTGCCTTGGCCAAAGAAAGCAACTCCTCCCTGGTAGACTTCGGCAAGAATGAAGTGATCTTTCACCTGGATGTTTTAGAAAAGCACTATTTGTGTCACCATGAGTTTCTGTGCGGCAACTCATCCACTATTGCAGATTGCTGGGTTGCTGTAGTCCTCTCTTTGTTAGAGCTGGTGTGTTTTGACCTAACACCCTGGCCAAGGCTGAGGTCATGGGTGTGCAGTATGAAGTCCAATGGTGATTATGTGGATGTCAGTTATAATCATGAAGAAATGGTGCGGAAGAGTTTCTATAATTTGAATAGCAGTGCTTCAGATCTGAAGACTGTGAGTGTTGAGAATCTCACCTAATTGCTTGAACATATTTCTCTACAAACAGCATACAGTATGGTTCATTTAGTAGGAACTTGTTCATTGACCATTTCATTAAATTATGTAAATGTAAACTACGAGCTGTCTCCTGTTCTCTTAAAAAAAATAGAAATAGCATCAAAGGGTGTGTTTTGACATGGCCCCTTCTTGTTGTACCTCATTATTCATTCCCTTCCTCCTCACACCCCTTGGACTGTAAGGAGTACTGGTAATCTGTATTATAATATTAATGTTCCTGCTCTTCTTAATTTGCTATGGGAAACACAATGGCCTGGAGGTTAAATCAGTGGAATCTGTTTTTAAAGGTATGCTTTTGATCCCGGCTTTCTGTAGTGATCTTTGACAACGCACTAAAATCCGGCCCACGTGAACTCTCTCTCTGCTCAGGAGTACGAATGGTTACTGGCACTGCTGGGGGCAGCCATGCAATGAACTGGCATTCTGATTAGGAGGGCAGGTGCCAATATGTTGCAAAATGTTTATGCTACAGAAATGGGAGTTAACTCTGGCATGGTGTGACCTAAAAGGCATTAGCTGACTTGACCTTGAGCCTCTCTCTATGCTGTGATGACGCAGTAATTATCTTATAAAGATGGGAAAAAAATTCTAAAGGAGATAGTGCATAGTTACATTGAATACCCTGTAGATGTGATCGAACGAATTTCTCGATTCTGGTATTTATTTAAAAAACATGGAAACGCACAAGGGTTACACTTGAATTCTGGGAAGTAACTGAACATCCCCAGTAGTATGTTGCGACGGGTTTTCCTGGAATTTTGTCACATCAATTAATTAATTGTCACATTATTAATTTTCCATACTTGGAAGTTTTTCCGTCACAACATAGACTTTCTCTGGACTGATTTGATTGTTTTTATCTACAAAAAGAAGCTCTCAGGATTGTCATCACTGAAAACAGTAACAATTCGACCATTTCTTAATATACTTACGGATTTAATGTACGTGTACCAAAATATCGTAATAGTGATAGTTTAGTTATTTGCGTAAATATTAATATATGGTAATATATAGTTTTACGTAAGTACTTTTGGTAGAGATTTTGTGAGAAAATGCTCAACGCAAACAGTTCTCAAAGATACAACACTAAATACGCGCACTTTTTTTTTAAAATCAATTCTCAATATACATACAAATTTATCCCAACAAAATAAATTGCCTAGTGCTTTATTTGATGTTTATTGAGTAATATTCTTTCCGTTTTCTGAGAGGAGGGTTTGATCTCTTACACCCAGTGAAAGACTTACTTTGAACAATCATCGATTAGGTGATTCGTGAAAATCATCTGTTTTTAGTAAGAACTCAGTAGAGGTACATGGCCTTGAATGAACACCAGGGATTGAAAATACTCTGACATAGTTTGGCCTCTATCACTCAAACGCTGAGGTGAAAGTCAGGCGGCACCCGAAGGTACTTAATTTTGCTTTTTCGCCCAGTCTTCTGTTTCAAAGGATTTTGTTAGATTAGTTGGTAATTTTGCATTTCTGCATTTCTGCATTTGAAACTTTCAGGACTCAAGAATGGTTGAGGAAATTATTTCTTTAACATGGTAACAAAGAAAACACCGATAAACACTGAGTGTGGAGCCAAATTACTGTAGTTATGTGACGCCTGCTTAAACTACAACGAAGGAGATGAAAACTTAAACAATGACAGGCGCTATTTAATTTGTGGTGACAATCCCAACCTTTGCTTTTGTGTTATGTCAAAAGTAATAAAAACTATTAATAGGACTTTTGAATTACAGAGTTCAACAGTTAATTCATCATAACCTGAAATTACACTCTGTAATTAAGATGTTTTTGTTTAATTTTTTGGGGCATTCCAGGCAATGTAAATTAATGTACTGGCAACAAACATAGGTAGTTTTTTTGTGATGAGCTACGGTCATAGTGATATTGAATTATGAACTGGACTGGATTAGATACAGAAGCTCAAAAGATCAACTAAACGAGTCAAGTGCAGGTAAGCACTCAACCTCTAATCATCGGCCTAGTGGCACTGCAAGGGAGTGAGTTTTAGTTTAAGTTGTCTGATCTTGGATTATTTATTTTTCTCCTAAGAACAAACATTAAATGGCTTAGTAATTGGATAAAGCCTAGACACCCTTTCACTCAAATGAGAAGAAAAAAAAAGCGTTTTGAAGAACACAAAATTTAGGTGATAGTATCTCAATATTATTGTTTTATTAGCATCTGCAAAACGCAGAAGCTCGGAGAGTTCGTTTAGGTACTCATTGAGATACTTTTAATGGTATTGAAAGTTTGATTTCACGACATAAACTCGGACAGTTCGAGCTGGACAAGGGGCGAGACCTGCGTCCATGCTATTGTACCAGAGAACGGTTTCGAGGAAGTGTTAAAGTGTTACAGCATTTTGCATAAGGAATCAAACAAAAACAACAACAACAAATCTATATTTATATGATAGATAAATGATATGATAGATAAATGACATGATAGATATGATAGATAAATTCGTTGACCGTGAAATAAGAGCTCACGGAGGGCATTCACTCTCACTGCTCTTTCTCCACTTGTGTTCATTTCGCGATTTGTCTGTTAGTAAATAAAAATAGAGAAATCTATCTTTCCGATCCTGCTTTGCATGGATACTCATTTACTGATTCTTTAAAACATCACAAGCGCTAAATGATTTAAGAACATAACATTACTCTGTGAGGACATCCTCTTGTCACTTCCGAGTCTTGCTCGTTGTCTGTTTAACCGAAAGGGCGCATGCTGTCGATGCGGAGGTGTCAGCTCATTCAGTCTGGTCCTTACGATTACTGTGTATTGGCACAGTTTTGCTTCTTCAGGCAGGCGTAAACACCTCATTCAACTCCCCTTCGTATGACTTCCAGGATTTTTTTTTTCTCAGAGACGTTTTATACAATGAGTCAGATGAGAACGTATTTTCATTATGAATTGGCCACTGTAGTGATAAAATACGTACCAGCACTCAAAACTTAGAAAAGAATATTTATTTATGCATCGGCAATATTTAACCAGCCTGGTTCAGTTAAGCTGCAAGCAAGTTTGAATGGGGTCGTGTAAATAAATAAATAATAGTATTGAAGATTGAATGACGAAGCCACAATACGATGTTTTCTGGCGAAAAGTTAGGGATTACCCCTTCGTACAAAGACATTGCCTAATGGATTGTTGTACGCCCAAATTAGAAAATTTTATTAGCGCTATTTCACGATGGACCGCCGATAACAATAGTTCAGTCATGGTGTTGGAAGAAAATCTCATTTGCTAATCGAGGTTTTTACAATTAGTATTTTAGATCATCCTCGTTAACGACTCTGAAATTTGAATGACAACGAAAAAGGATGTTTTCCTACAGCGAACTGCGTCCCTAGTGATATTGGACGCCAAAACACAAAAGTAATGAGGAAATAAAGAGAAAGGCCCTTCCAGGTTGTTAAGTATAAGCACAGAAAGAGCTGGCCGTAAGTGAGTGAAGATTACAAGGTCCTCACTGCAAAAGTTTTTTCGACAGCCACGCAACGCAGGTCGCACATCACCGCAAGGTATTTTTCTTAGCCTTTGGTTTTGTACTCAATAGTAACTGATTTATCACCCAAAAGAGGTGATAGCAAAAATAGCATACTTTTACAAGCAACAAGGTCATCTTTACTATCTTCCAACAATTATCCTGACGCTAGTAACTTGATTGCAGAGATTGAGAAGAACCCGCGGGAAAAACAGTGATTTCCTTCGAAATAAAAAAAAAAACTTAAAAACGGGAAAAGATCTGCTCTGAGCGCCAGGAAGGATTCTCTGCGATGGCTACGTAGAAATCTAACCCCCTCACATGTTACGCAACTCAGATATTGTTTGCCACTCTTTCTCCTTTACGTGGCCAAGATTTTAATTAGCTATAGCAGACCCAAGTCAAGTTATTTGCGGTAAAATGCATGACATCGTCAAAGAGGGTTGTTTGGTTCCCCCTCCCACGCAAACTGAATCATTTTGATTTTCATGAGGAGGTTCCTTGCCCATTGTCCGTGTAGGAATTTCAACCGTTAAAAATAATAATGCGAGCAATACAGGCAGCTGAAACTTTTAAGTATTTGATAGGAAATTCAAAAACAACTACAAAACAGGAAAGAATAGACAAAAGCGTAGATAACTCAAAACCAATAGAGTCCAATTTCTGGGAAGCGTTCTCCCAGCGTTCTAAAACTTAAATAAATGGCGCATGACTTGAGATTCAATCAAAAATCTCATCAAAAGGGAAATTTTGAAATTGTTTTTGTTGATTGTTTATATTTGCTTTTTCCATCTTTCTACGTTTCAAAGTCTCAAAATACCATTTAATGAAGATGTAACCAAGCATTTTGTGACAACGGATTGGAATGACTCAAGATTGCATATAACTGTGATGCCAAGCGCACTCCTAAACTTAAGAGAAGGGAATAGTCTCTACTTCATTACTGGATCTGTTGAGGTCCTTTATGCTTTACCGTTATCAACTTATTTTGGGTGTCTGAGTAATATTGCCCTAAAAGTAGATAGACTTTCATAGAAAAGAATATTAACCCTCCGCAAATACACTTTTAGTTTAACTTTTAAAAGAAAACATGTGAATCATGATGATCTGATGCAATCTAATGGTCATTTGCTGCCCCTGGGCTATTCTTTGCCTCCTTCCGCGACTTGACCCTTAAGAGTGACTAGCATCTAATTTCTCCTGATAATATCACCCCTGAATCAAACATTAAGGTCACGAGAATATAGGAAATGATCACCAACTAATGAAGCTCTTATTGTTAAACAAATTCTCCTCGTCAGCACTTTATAAAATGTATAGAGAACAGTATGGAGAATATGCCTACTGAACTTAAGGCGTCATTGGCATAGTTGCAACAGCAACTGCGCGAGCGGCAGAAACTAATTCAAATTCCAACACGTTTCTATCAAAGGCTAAGGTTTGTAGCAGAAAAAAGAAAGGTCGAGAACTGAATTTTTACCAACCAGTCTGCACAAATCGACTTTCACAAACTGATGGAAACATTTTTATATAAATGTGATACCAATACTTTCTCTTA